TATTTCCGGAAATATCCATATATATATATGTAGGGGATCCATGTTTTAGATCCTGCCAGGGGTCTGGGAAATGGATTGAGAGGGTTTGGCGTGAGGGGTCCCAGATACAGACAGCAGTTTATGAAGATTCCTAGCAGTTTTACCATACTATTGTTAATGGCGTATATACCCCCGTATTTGGGTAAAAGACCGTTCATCATAAGGAAGCCCAAAAGGGACAGTGCATAGGAAAGGCCAAGAGATCTGGTGCTATAGGTTTTAAGATTTGGGATTGAGTCGAGACCCTCAATTGTGAAGACCTAAGGGCTGCGATCTTGGAATTCCTAAATGCCCGTGACCCTTCAAAAATGGGCAGTGGGATAAAATCCAATTGCAGTCAACACAAAGCCGACTAAATTAAATGAGATCACGCACAGTATTGTACGTGCTCCATGGATGTTCACGGTCATCCGCTATTAACTGGTCTCTTTGTTTCTTGTCTGAATCTTTGGGATGCTATTATTGGAAAATCACGAAAACGAGCAAAAAAGACTCTAGATGTTCACGGCTTAATTTCGACGCTTCCGATATCTACCTGTTCGCACTTTGCCTTCCATTTGTTTGTTAGCTCGTAGTTTCACTTCATGTGTTTTTTTCTTAGATTTTTGGTTGATTCTGTTTTGGTTTCACCGTTTAGTCTGAGTTTAGGCGGGAGTTTTGGGGAGCCCTTGGCGAGGTCTTTGTGGTTCGTTGGGTTCCGGCTCCAGATCAAGCGACGTAAGGCCTAGGTTTCAATGCCTCTTTCTATAATCCCCCTTGAGTAGATAGAATATGAATGAATATGAAATATATGGGTTATATGGGGATCTTATTATAAGCCTGACTCACGGGTTTTGGGGGTTAGGGAATCTATAGTGCCCCTTAAGTAGATAGAATATGATTTTGGATATGTTTTAACAAGATCCCCATATAGCCCATATTCTATCCACTTAAGGGGGACTGTAGATCTGTCTACATTGAACATCCTGGAAAGCCACCTAGAATCCCTTGAGCTGAGCCCATCCCAGGATAAATAAATTCTTGGCACTGGGGAACAACGACTTCGAGCCCCCTGTGTTCCAAGTCGGCGTAATGCTGTGCGTGCTTTGCATCCTCCTGTGGAGCCTGTGCGTTTACAAGGACTGGGCATATGGCGTGTTGGGCTTAGGTTTGCAGAATTCAACTAGTCTTCTGAAGCCCCGGCTGCTCTCGTCCAGATGCCAGTGCCAGTGCAGGGAAGTGCTGAAGCCCGATCCTTGTGATGCCCTACACAATGGACACCCCCAAATCCTTTGTCACCATTTGAATTGGACATCAGTGCGTGTCAGGCTGTGTCTTGTCTGTTGAATGAACTGGATAGTCAATCAAATCCTTGCGTCAGCTCCTCCTAGCTTTCCTTGCAGGAGATCAGGCGAGTGTGGTTAGCTCTGGAGGCAACAATGCGGATACCAAAGGCTTCCGGGAATCTGAAAAGGTTGCAGGAGGGGCCCTTCATCTAGCAAGCTGTGGTGTGAAGGCTAAGGTTTATGGTTTAGGGTGCGAGTGTAGGCATGCGTACAATAAGCATGAATTAAGTATGAAATGGGCTTACTCTGAATGTGCTTATAGATTTGCCAAGTCATATGAGATGTTTGGTCCGAGGCGAAGAGGACAGAGTTGAGCAACAACGTCTTCTCCAGCATTTCGTGGGGCCGCTACTGCATGGTGCTGTTGACGTACGCGGCATCTAGCCGAAATACCCTGCGAGTGAAGCGAGAGAATGCTTGGCTTAGGTTTGCAGGTGCTGTTTGGTTGTGGGCTGCCAATACCAAGCACCAGTCTTGAAACCAGCTGAGGCAAGAGTCGCCATAGCTTCCGTGTTGCTGGTAGCCGGAATTCTCTGGTTGGCCCGAACAACGTCTATTGAGGAGCTTATGCTGAATGCGGTTGCCCTGAATGCCATCCTCGATGTTGATGAGTTTCTCTTCGCGGGTATGATGCCCATAAAGCTACAGCACGCAGTGCAGAGTCTGGAGCCCATACAAGTCAAGTATAGCCGCCGGCGCAGCCAGTGTGAGACGCTTGTGCATCTGAGCCTGATTCTAACTACTGTGCTGCTGGCATACAGCTTGCTCCTGGTGCCTCTATCTAGTTCGATGCAGATTGTAAAGAATGAGCTCTGCGGCGGGAACCAAACTTTCGTGGTCTCATACAACCGCCAGACGCAAGAAATCATTGGCCTGAAAACAGTGGAAATGCTGGAGAATCCAAACCTCACAGCGATGGAGGTGGGTTCATGTCACAGGTGTCGTCTGTTTTCGGGCAATTACCCCTTTGTGTACGACAGCCAGTATTTTCAGGTGCCGTAAGAAGAGCAACCTGATTTTAGGAACTGCTCAGGTGGCCGTCAAGTCCCACATTGCCAACTCACCCGAGACTACTCCCGGAGAAGTTCCAGACTCTTGGCCCTTTGTGTACACTGAAGGCTACCCTCCATTCGAACTAATGAGGAAAGGCTTCTCTGCGGCTGCCATATGTTGATGCGTATTAATTTCAGGAGGGTAGTAAGGGTTCATAACCCTTGTCGCTCAGAACCAGAATGCCTAGCAAGCAGTCGGGTGCTTTCATGGTTATGGGGTTTTGTTTCAGATGTAATTAGAGTTTACGGGTGCTTTCGGGGCTTCATGGCTCGTAGTCTGAAAGTATTGTAGAGCTTGCAGTTAACGGTTAATGGGTTGGTATATCTGGGGTAGCGGGCAATTACGCAAAATGTCCCGGAGGGCTCGTGTGGGCTAGATTTACAATTTCTTCGTTTTGGCTTTCGTCCGCATGCACCGCCCGGACTTTACTACATGGCAATTTTCAGCCGACAGTGGCATTATCTATCTCACAAGAAGTTTTATATTCACACGAGTAAGATGAATAGAAGTAACAGTAAACTGCCCCAACATTTTTCAAGCCCATGCCCGAGCGAGTCAGGCAGGAGCGAAATCTTCCCAACAGGGAGCCCAATACCCATTGATTGAGAACATTCCTGAAATTGTTATAAGTGATCCTGGTATCATTCAGGTTACTTTAGTTGGGCTGTTTGGGTTAGCCCTACGCCCCTAAACCCCCAACTCCTAAACCCGAAACCCCTAAACCCTGCAGATAGGACTGCGGCCCTTAACCCCCATAATCCCAGGATTACATCAGCTTCGCTGCAAGCCGTAGAGCCTTCGGTGCAGACGTCTCGCGAACTATGGCAGAGAAGGCCAGCTTCTGGGGCCTTCCCGGTTTAGGGTTCAGGGTTTAAGGCTTAGGGTTTAGGGTTTAGGATTTAGGGCTTAGGGTTTAGGTTTTAGGATTTAGGGCTTAGGGTTTAGGGCTTAGGGTTGAGGGCTTGGCGTTGAGGGTTTAGGTTTAAGGTTCAGGGTAGGGCGTAACCCTTGGGGCTGAGGGTGTAGGTGGATTTGGTGGGTATTCAGAATTCCCGATATGATCTAGAATTGTATCATCGGGAAAGCCTCAGATGCTGGAAAGTTAAGAATTATTTGGGGGGCACAGAAAATTATGCCAGGGTATGGCTTCTACAACAGCACTGGTACTTTCGAATCGCTAGATACCTAGCTTGTTGCGGGGTACACGGGACTCCTTCACTTTCCCAAAGGGTCCATGTAGCTACATGGTATATACTTGGGCCGTAAAGTAGGTATATGGGAACCCCTTTTGGCCCTAAGTATATACCATATACCTACATGGACCCTTTGGGTTTGAGAAGGCAAGACAGTTTCCGCTATGTTTCGAGCCCTTCGTTGTGAATGAGAACGGCTTGCTTCACAATGACCCGGCTCTGCGGCCGATGGTGGATGTCTTGTTGCCTGGCCTAAGTAATTAAGCAGCAAGAACTTGAACCCCTAAACCCCTAAAACCCTAGACCCTAAGTCTAGAATCTTCGTTTTGGGAGTGATGCTTTGCTGTTTGTTTGGAGTTCTCCTGCACGAAAACAATTGTCCCAAAAAGCCTCCCTTTGCTCCCCAAAACTTACATGGAGACCCGGCTTCTTGCATTCAAGGGACGGTAGTTGTTGTGACTCCTGTTCTTGGGCTTCAGCGTCAGCTTGGACGAGGATGCAGACTTAACTCTAAGTCCTTAACTCTTTAAACCTGAAACCCTGAGCGCCAAAACATTTTGAGCCCTGAAGCCTTAACGCCCAAAACCTACATCCATGTACCCTAGAATCCCCCAAAATCTCAAAGCACCAAAACCCAAAGACCCTTAAGCCCTCTAGAAACTTGAGGCAACCTTCTGCCTCAAATGCCTAAAGTCCCCAAATCCAAAACCCCAAAACCCCAAACCCCAAACCCATGAGTCAGGCTCCGGACGGCGGGCCTGGCCTATGGCCGGGAGATGGCTTCCAGCTGCCAGGATCAAGGGATCTTGGGGTTGGACCTTTGGGTTTAGAGCTTAGGGGTTTAGGGCTTAGGGGTTTAGGGTTTAGGGGTTTAAGGTACCAAGGTGTTTTGGGTTGGACCCTTAGGTTGGGTAGCAGGGCTTGGGAAGCTCTTATAAGGAGAAAGTAGTACCTGTACGTATATGCTATTATTTACGGGGTAGATATGGTATATATTATGGGGTATCTATTGATATCTATTGTGGGCCCAACCTTGGGTTTTACTGTGAACGGCAGATCTTTGATAGGAGCTCAGTGACCTTTGCGACGATCCTGACGCGCAGCTGTTACGACTTGCTCCTGGATCATTGTATTGGCTCAGTTTTTGTGGGGTGGGCTTGGGGGTTGCAGTTGGACTTAAGGCTGTGGTTAGGTCACTGTCAACAAAATAATACGCAGAGTACAGCAATCCAGTAGAAGTGGTAGGGTACAAGCCTTCAGGTATGGCACCAGGCACAATGCAGGCTAAATCCCATTTCCCCAAACCCTAAACCCCCAACCCCAAACCCCTAAATCCTAAACCTTGACCGCGTATATGGCCTTGCATCATGATCACTGTGGGTCCATGAACGGTGGCCCAGGTTTGCGGTGAGACCTGCGGTTGCACCGACCCCGTCTCCAGCCCTTGGTTCAAGGTTGAGGGTTTGAAGCTACTCATCGACCTCCCCCTAAATTTAAGCGCCCTAATGATATCCCCTAGTCAAACTTCAATGGAATTATATTGAGGGGCCGTTATTGTTCTGGGGAAGGGACTTTGTTACCATAGCGGTTTCTCTCGTTGTATAGGGTTTATATGGATTTCATAGCCTCACCTGAAAACCTAGACCCCTCACCCACCGCTGCTTGAACCGTAAGCCTCGAATCACCCTAAACTCTATGCCCCGTCAAGGTTCTAAGGTGGGAACTATAGGTCCCTAGTATGGCCCCTACTTCTGGGGTCCTGATGTACCCATTATATACCCCACAAAGGCCTACAGGGCTATTTAGGGACCCTAAACCCTAAACCGAAAGGTGGAGGGGCAAGGCTGCAGCGGGTCATGCCTCATATCGGCAGGTTGGGCGGAAAGACTCATTCCATGCGAGGACTCCTGGCTGAGGTGTAGACTAATTACTTTGACCTGGCATAACAGATCCCTGAAGGAACCCTGGTCTCCCCTCACCCCAACATCCTCGCAATAGTGTAAGAAGGATCCATTCAATCCCTTCCTCCCTTGAAGTCGTCAACAGCCAGGATGATGAAAGCCATCGCGGGTGGAATGACTTTTGGGAATCCTGGCCCAGCGCTGTGTCTGCTTTCTATGGTCAAGAAGTCAGAGGCACGGTATTGTGGCCGGAAGCAAACACGACCATCAACGGTATGCTCTCACAAGGCTGTTCCTATCTGGATGTGACCCTTCGCTGCATTTAGACTTTTGTTCGCGACTTTTGTTCACGGCTTATTTCCTTCATCCCTAGCCCAAGCTAGTACCCACCAGTGCCCATGCACTTCCTCTGAAAGAGCCTCCACGTTTGGATTAGGATGGGCTTCGATCCATACACCAGCGCCAACTACTGCGAGGGGCTAACCACACTCTTCAAGCCCTTGGCTAGGATTTGTCCCGTGACTTGGCATGAGTGAAACGACTGGATTTTCCAGTTGTGAGAGGCAAAGCCTAGAACCCTTCAGCCGAGGAGTCGCATAAAATTGTTAAGTTCGACCTGACTACCCTCAGTATGGCTTCGAGGTTTGGGAGAAGTTTGCGCTGAGAGGGGCCCATTGAGCCCCTGAACACCCTACCCTCGGATCCTGATTCGTTGTGCTAGATCCCCAACAAAATCGGGTCTTTGTTTAAAGGGAATGGTTGACGGCCAAACAGCCAAACAAATCTGGGTCGAAGTTAGGAGCTTGTCCAAGAGGAGGAGGGTTGCAGTTCGGTAGCTGTTTGAGGATCAAAATCAAGGGTTGCGGAACTGAGTAGATGTGTCAAAATTGGAGATGAAGAGGGTTTCATGATGCCCCGGCAAGCCCGTGGCGTTGTGGAGCAATCAGCACCCCAAAAAACCAGGCTCAGGGCAGCTGCTGGACCACATTTCTGTAGAAATGATTGACTGGCCAAGTCGAATAAGCGCGCTGATACTGAAATTGACACTTAGTTTTGGACTTGTCCAGAAAGCTGACTTCGTGAGGCTTCAGATGTTGAAGCCTCTATCTTCAAACAGTGAAGACTCAAAACGTACGGGCTTTTGCTTCCTGGAATCCCTAAAGGTTTTAAAAACGGACAAATCAGCAGCCCCTAAACTCTTGTTGCCTCTGAGTGCAGCTCCTTCAGCCCCTTGGAGAAACAATTGCCGGGCTTTCTTATTTAAGTGGTTGAACAAGAAATCGAGATTTCTGGACTTGGCCTGGAACCTGAGACCCGGGAGCAGGAAAACTGGTAAGGCCAAACATACCCATCACTGAAACTTAACATGGTGTAAGGGTTTAGGGTTGACGGTTGCAATGCAATGTGGAAACACCTCCAAATCATTCTTGCGGTGTTGCATACTTTCCCAAGCTTCGCACAAGTCTAGTCCCAGTAATTTTGAGTAAGCATCAAGCCAGGCCCCGAACTCCAAACCCAAAAGCTTGAGCTCCCTAGACCCTATAACGTATACCTGTAAACCCAGTTGCCTACAGCTTTACGGGTTTTGCTTATTCATTAAGGGGTAGGTCTTACTAAGCTGTAGGGCTGTAGGTAATCAGGGTCACAGGTAAAGTCTATAAACCTGAGCTCCTCACTTGGAGGGTCAAGGGGATGTAGTAAAGTGAGTAGGCGAACGATGGGGACAACTAAAGTTACTATCTGGATTTTACTTACGACCCCCCCCCCCCGCCCCTGACCTTTAACCCTAAATGAAATCGTAGTTTGCATGTTCTTCTCCAGTGTTACTTGGTCAACCTGACCCCCCCAAGTAGGTGACGTGTGGCTGCAAAGACGTGGCCGGCCCACTGCCGAGTCGATGCCCAGCTGGCTGTGATGCACAGAACGTCTCACAAGTGAACAGGTAAGGAAGGCTCGGGGAGGAAATCTACAGGTCTAGGATGTATAGCGCTCAGGGTAGTTTAAGAGATCCAAGACTGAAACCCGAAGTTTTGTCCTGATGACGTAGGCCCCCATGCTAGTTGAAAAGCGTGTGCCTCCTCCAGAGTTCTAATCTACCGCCCACGATACCTGATTTCGATGCTCAAGTCTTGGTTGCCATTGGGGTTGCTGAGTCAAGAAAACCCGAAGAGCTTGTAAGCTAGATGCCCTTGGTGCCGCCCACGCCGACTTCTCGTGGTATCAGCGGCATACATAGGGGCACTGGCTTACTTCTGTGTTCACGATAGTGGTTGGGGGAATAACCCATGGTTGCCATGTAAGCCCCACGGCTTGGAGTTCAGGACCGACTTGCTGATACCCGAGCCTCCAGTCAGCTTTCGGCTCAGTGTTCAACCTCCTGCGTATGCAGAATCCCGACGCCAGCGCACATTGAGCATGCTACGAAACAGCCCAAGCCTAAATCCAAAGCCCTAAACCGTAAAGGCGGGCGTGCCGGCACGCCTCGTGCACCAAACCAAATTCAATGCACGTCCTTGAAGAATCCCGATACAAATCTTATGGCCTTCCCCCTACAACAACTTTCCAAGCTGACCAGGGTGCTCTCTGCCAGGAATCGTTCGAATGGAATAAAGGGCAAGCTGAAAATCGGTAGATATACTAGAGGTCGTTTGATTTCATTGAGTAGAGGGGTAAGAACACTAGGTCGAGCAAGTAGCCTTCCACAAACTAACACGGAAGCAATCGCTGCTCATCTTTCCCCCCACCCCATGCACTCGGCTTTGAGAAGGGTTTGCACTTGATTTTGATACGCCACACAATAGTCGAATTCAACGAAGCTAGATTCTTACGTCAACATATATGTGGGGGCGAAAGCTCAGGAAAGCTCAGAACAGAGTCTGAATCTTAAAGCCCAAGGCCTGCAAGCCCCACACACCTTGACCCGAACACGTACTTCAATCCGCCCGATTGTGGGCTTCGGTCCCAAGAGCGCCGGCTGCACACATTCCGCCATTGCGATTTTTCATTCTCGCGATCTTCTACGGCGGCCTGCAAATCACCTCGGGATAATCTGAAGAGTGGCTCATGGCGTCTTCCCCATTTCACCCGTAAAGGTGAGAGCCTGAAGGGCAAAGTTTCCTTTCAGGCCTTTCAAAAGCTGCAAACAGCGGCTTCCGTACCTGCGCCAAGTAGGCTTTGAGGGACATGTAACGTAAGAGCTTACACAGTTGGCTTCTTAACAAATGGGAAAGAGAATGGAACATGGAACAGAAACTGGGATGAAACAGGGGCTTAATAGGGATCAGTGTGGTGGCAGCAATGGTGGTTGTGGTTGCAGTCGCGGTGTCGTCAAGAGCAGCAGGAGCAGAGAGAGAGAGAGAGAGGGAGGAGGAGGAGGAAGAGGAGGAGGAGGAGGAGATGAAGTAGTGAAGTCTCACAAGCTGTAGTCATGTACTTGCGGGAAAAGTTGAGGCCATTCCAGGCCTTTTGGCTAGGCATGGCTGGAGTTGGGGTTTACATGCAACCCATACGTAACTGGTTTATTACATATAGACTGAATTTCCAAGTCATGTTCCACTGTCTTTGACCAGATGCGCTGCCACAAAACCCTACAGAACCCCTACGCAAAGAGGTTCCAAGTTCAAAAGGTCGGTCTAGTTGTGATACTCCTGGCCCTCCTAGCCACAACACTGGCGATCACAAGTTTGAAGTGTCTGTGGCTTTCCGACTTGTGCGGTCCCCTTGCAGTGGAAAGTTTGCGGCTAGGATTGCCATGAAATCAGCATATTCGGCATCTTGCACGGAGCAAAGCCATACAATTGCGAGTGCCGATGCTTGTCGATGCTCGTGACTGTTATGTGTCCAGCAGATGACCCTACTCGCGCCAAAGAACGCCGCGTAGGGAAAAAGGGACACACTGGCTTTGCGGCCCCAGTGCTTTGCTGTTCCGG